TGAAGTTTCTTGCAATGTAAAGGAAAGTCTTCTATCCTTAAGCTGGACTTGGAAAAGAAAAAACTCACCTAAAAATAATTTCGAATACAAAATATATATTTAAACCACTTAAAAATGTATACATTGATTACATTTTATATATAAATATTTCTTTTCAGAAAAAATATTTCTTAAAAAAACACACATGGTAGTTGTTCAAGGTTCCACAAATGTCCAAGATAATCTCTCTTTTTAAATGCAGTAGCACTTCATTTCAATACAAAATAAATTAAAAAACTGCTCGACGGATTGACTAATGCCAACTTAGAGTTACAGAAATTGTTGTTATATATAAAAATTTCGGAAGCATCATTTTCGATAGATGCCTACAGGCAATGCAGAAAAGGGCATTGCCTGCAGGCATCGACTACACTTATTTTCTGTATGTATAGAGTAACCCGAAATATACCGTTGTACCTGGCATTCTATATCTTTATCTTCTTCATATTCCACTACTTCCGATTCATTTGAAGCAGCTATAGGCAAATGATTACTATCGTCATCTTCACAATTTTTATTGGTGGCTGCAGCAAAGATGTCAGAAGACATTATTTTTGCCGTTATATAAATCTAAATTCTTTAATTGAGGGATGAGTGTTATTGTCAATTGCACCCCTTACTCGTGAATAGAAATTTTCCAAAGCATCCTGATTTATTTTTCCAGGTAAAATAAAAACAACCTAACTATAGTCTCGGAAAATGTCTTCGCTGAGCAATATCAGACAGTGTAAAGTTTGTTTGAATCCCTCAATACATTGTACGTTGTCGACATTTCCATTCAGAACAATCGATTCAAAAAAATATTTTCTGACCATTAAAACAAAAAAAGGTTCTTGTCTTGATGTCGTCAAGTGACTATTTACAGAAACGTTTGTAGAACCTTGATCGCACACTAATGCACGAACATCCAACCCAATATCCATAGCAACTGGCACATTTTCTTCTAAAATATATTTTAAATGCGTCCGTGCCATGTTTTTCGATACTGGATAATAGCTAATCTATATTTCCAGTTCGAACATATTCCTTTCAACATGAAAACAAGGCATCTATGGGCCAATTTATTTGTCCTTCTTCCATTACCGTAATTTTCGAACCCATCGACAACATCAGCAGAATTTTTGTATTCTAAGCCTTTTTTAATATCCACTTCATCATGAACCATCACGCATATCCGTTCTTTTTTAGACATTTTTGCAACTTTTGTTTTCAAATTTTTTATGATATCGTGGTCCATGGCTGGGTGTACCGCTCGCACAGTGCGCCATCGTCCTAAAGATTTAGGGTTCGGTAAATTAAATTTCAACGATTCTCTTATAAAATTGTAACAGGACGGACTTCTGAAATAGATATTTTGTGCTACGTCTTTTTCCTCTTGGGATTGCTTTTTACTGTTTTCGGTATCGTTACGTGCCAATGATAATTCTTGTGTCGATACGTTCTTGTTTGGAACTATACACCTTGTCAAATTGCACAATTCATCTTTGAGTTTCGCCATCTCACAAGCGAGGATATTTCGTTCCTTAACAAGAATGTTGACTCTTTCTTTATATTGGTTTTCATTCACAATGTATCCCTGAATTGCATGTTTCAAATCTGTGTTTTCATTGTTATAGTAGGTTGGAGTATTTCAATTTCGAGGTTAAGATTTTCTATTTCATTTTTGCACCCACATTACACTCGGCAATGGATTTATAATTGCCAACAGCATTTGTGCCAGAATGATCTCTGCAGAAATAGAAAGGTGAACATTTTGTTTAATAATATACAATGAATATTAATATAATAAAATATAAGTATGAAATATCGAATTTAATAAACCGTAGTTGTAGAGTAGAGTGGAGTTATGACATGTAAAACAACATTTATAACTATCTATAAATGTTGTTTACAAAAATTTAATTGAAGCGAAGAATATATGTTCGTTCTTGTTGTAATGTCGTACTTACTAATTGTACATGGCGTAAAAATGATGAAAAATAAAAACATAACTTTTCTTACATTGGATTCAACGGATGTATTATTTCTACTGTACGTTTTTTCACAATCAATCACACGTTCTGAATCCACATTTCCAATAATGTCAACTGACTCCGTACGAACAATTGTTACAGCAACATCTTCCATCCCAATGATTGCCTTTGCTTCGGAACAATATCCGTGTTCTTTACTATTTCGGGATTAATACAAATATCATGTTGTAGGTTTTGATTATCATCGTCTGGTTTAGCAACTAAAAACCGTTGGGGAGGGGGTGTACGTTAGCCGTTAGTCGGAAAGTAAAACAAATAAAAGAAAAACACAATAGTTTTCTTTGTAATAATTCAATGGTTTATTTGGTTGTTTGGTGGTAAACGATATTACCTTTTGGTAACGATATGCCGGTGCGCAAAGATATGCGTGTTGTCTGTCCGATTGACAGTTTGATATTCCTCGAAGCTAGAACGAGGCGGCAAAAACAAGTGGCAAATAATTATTAGCTAAAACGTCAAAGACGCTAACCCAAGGTTGCACTAAACCGTAGCGCATACATTTTACCTAATAATTGATGATTACAACAGGGGTCAATAAAAAGTATTATTTTTACAAAAATCTAAATTAAACAAATATTGTTGTAAAACTCCACGCCAAAAAATTCAACTATTTATATGAAATAATTATTTCGCTTTAATGTTTTTTATATCGACATAAAACTAAAACCAAACCACTTACAAATAGCGCATACTTTGAGATGCTATATAAATTCCAACTACTTAGCCAACGTTTAAATGTTGGAATATTTTTTCTAGGTAAATATACAGGACATTGAATTTCAGAGATGTCCTGCCATGTTACCAATTGTGGACGACAAACCAGTAGCGTATTCATGACTGCACGATAACCACTTTGCACGGCACCTCCCAGCAATCCACGATAACAGGTGCCAGCTGCTGCCGATGATGACCAGATTACACGATTCCAGGGTGTTGTTAGGGGCGCATGAGCCACACTGGACATCTCAAAGGTATGCTGGGAATATTCCAAAGGTACCAGCATACCTTCACCAAATGCCTCGGCCAATTTGTGTAAAATAATTGTTTTCACCAAAGGTTCGATGCCCTCTTCGTGAATGTAATAACCATAGAGGATATTATCGTGATAATGGTGGGTAATCAAGAAGGGTTCCAAATTCAAATATTGTCCTGAATAATTTTCTCTTTGCCAATGTGATTCCCGATAACTGGCCAAGAAACTTGTCAAGACATGTTTGGTTTTATTCACATTGGCTGGAGGTTTAACGAGCTCCAAGGGTAGTGCGGGACGAAATTTTATTTCTTGTATAAAATTCCAGGGAATTGCAACAATAACAGCTTGGGCCACATACATATTATTTTGAGAATCCCGAACGTGGACATAATCACGATATTGTTGTATTTCAATAACTTTATGGCCATAATGGAATTCGACATAAGACAGGTGATCCATAATTTTCGTTATTAACTCCCCGCTGGAAAATCCAATTATGCCATTGGGTACTTCATATAATCTGAAATTTGCAGTAGCATAAAGAAGTAGGTGCGTGGAGGAATTTCCCCGGCTATACTTACAAATTAATTAATCTGCCAATGCCACCACTTGTCCGACAAATATTTATGAACTCATTGAAACTGATATCGCAGGCCTCAGTTCCACTTATCAGGAGTACGAAGTTTGACATAAATTTGCGGGACATTGAGAAAAATAAATGTTTGCCAATGTGGGAATGCATTGTGAGTTTGGAAAATCTGAAACAAAAGGAAATATTTTTTCAACAACTATCGCAGCCATAGGCGTGGATTTTTCAACAATTATCACAACTCTAGGCGTCGAGTTTTTAAACACTATTTTTTCAACAATTATCACAGCCAAAGGCGTAGATTTTTTAAACAATGTTTTACTACATATGTATGTATGTGATTATCATAGTAGCTTACCTTTTCGCCTCCGCTCCACGACTGTCCATTTGCAATTCCAATTCATTGATATACCTTTTCAGTTCATATTTGGACAATCTAGCAAATATGCCCCTATCAATTTGCCAATATCTTTGCAACGTCAATCCGTCAATATTTCTCCTATGAAGTGTAACATTCAAATCTCTCAGCAGTGTATAAATATGATATTGATCTTCCGTTATCCATTTGGCACCAAGTTCCCCCAATTGATTGGCACGTAATTGGCCACCAATAACATTGTTGGCTTCCAATAATGCTATACGCAATCCTGGCTCCCGTTCATGTAGCCTTAAAGCAGATGTAAGACCTGAAAGGCCTCCACCAATTATTAAAACATCAAAAGGATTTTCCAAATTTGATTGATTCATAATATTGTTGACAATAAAATGTGTATTTTTTTTTGTTTTGGTTTGAAAATGACATTTAAAAGGAACAAACTTAAAATTGTATGTGGGCGCCATCTATTGGTATTTTGTGGTTACTATATTTTTAATACATTATTGCAATAATATTGTAGCATACTTTCAGGCTCTATGTGATAGTCATAGACAGGAAATAATGAAACGTTATATCAACGTAATGGAGTTGCGTAGAGTGTACTGTTACAAATTCAAAAGTAATAAATGACAAAGAGTTATCCAGCTCACGCAAAGGCTGAAACCAGCTGACCATTACCAACGTCTTATATACGTGAAATGGGTGCCTGAACGACAGGCGGAGTAGTACAATATTTCGAAAAAAAAAAAAATAAAAAAACTTGAAATTTGGAATGCTAATCACACATGTATATGAAAAGTACTAGACAGTACTAAATTTGGTACAATTTGAATTTGGAGAAACGGAAGGAGCAGGAATCCTGAAACATTACCGACGCAGTGTAGGATTGAGATATGTACGTATATAGTTTTAGAAATTTGTAATTATGTGTACGAAAAGTAGTAAATGGTACTATATTTGGTACAATTTTAATTTTCGATAAACCGATAGAACGGTAACACTGAACTTTAGAAATAAGATTACTACTGCATTGTAGAATTTCCAAAACTAACTACATTGAAATTCATACTAAATGATTCTTAAATTTGGTACATTTTAAATTTTGTATGAACCGATAGAACTGGAATACTGAAATTTGGTGTTAGGCTCATTGTTAGGGTGTAGGATTGGGGTATGCAGGAAGTTTTGGAAAGTCATACTTATGTGTACTAAATTTGTTGAAATTTGGATTTGGTTTAACCGATCGGGATGGAATGTAAAAATTGGGAAATATGATTTATGTTGCGTTGTTCAAATTTATATAATTGTTAGGGAAATTTATATTATTAATGTGTACTAAACGGTACTAAATTTGAGAGAATTTCGATTTAAGTGAATCACGAAATCTGGAATCACGGAATTTGGAATTAAGATTACTGTGGAAGTATAGGAATGGGGAATGTAGGGAATTTCTGAAATTGGTACGTATGTGTACTAATAGGTACTAAACTTGTTCTATTTGAGTTTTGGATGAACCGAAAGAGCTGGAATCCTGAAATTTGTAATCGAATCCTGCATTGTAGAATTGAGGTATGCAGGTCATTTTGAAAATTCGTACTTATGTGTACTAAATTTGGGTACAATTTGTAGAGGTAGGTAGTTATGGGCAGTTATATTAATGTGTGTGTACTAAATGGTAAATGGTACAATAGGGTTGGAATTGTGAAATTTTAAATTAGGATCACTGTTAAAGTGTAGGATTTTGTAATGCAAGAAGTTTTAAAAATTCGTACTTATTTGTACTAAACTTTGTACAATTTGTATTTAGGTGATCCGATGGAGCTTGAATCCTAAAACTTGGAATTTTGATTATTATTAGGGTGTTGGATTGGGTAACGCAGGATGTTTTTGAAATACGTACTAAATGGTACTTAATTTGGTACAATTACGATTTAAATGAACCGATTGGCTGAAATACTGAAATCGGGAAATATGAGCTATGTTGCATTGTTGAGATAGGTAGTTATGGAAATTTATATTATTATGTACGAAATGGTACTAAATTTGGTAACATTTGGGCTTGAGTGAACCAATAGAGCTCGAATCTTGAAATTTCGAATATATGTTGAAAATAAGTACTACAAGAGTACAAAAAGGTAATAAATGACATAGAGCTAGACTTCTGTTGCGGTCAGAATTGGTGTGTAGTGTTGAGAAACTTGACCTATGGTGAATATATATAATATATAATATACCCATGATAAATTTTCAATCCATCCAGACCATTAACTTTATTTTGTTGAATAGTGTATTTAATGTTATACAATTTTATAATCGATAATATGTTGAGTAAAAGAAGGAGTTCCCCCAAAGGTGGAGTGACATCTGCGAAACAGTGCAAATGCAAAAGGTTTGTCAACATGGGAATATGAAAACAGGTGTCATTCAAAATCACTACCACAATGTGCATAACCAACCTAAATGTGATAAAATTATATGTTGGAACAAGTCAATATTTAATATATTTTCCGGAGATTTAAAAACTTTTAAAAAAATACATCAAATTTGGGCGCCATTTCTGTTACGATCCCAGCTGTTGTTGCTAATCAAAAGTGGAAAATAACAAAATATGTAAATATATGTGTATGCTGTACTCTATTTTAAAAATAGATTTTATTCAATTTTATTTCATTTGAAAAATGCTTATCAGTTAAAAATATAATATTAAAATTAAAATATATCAATGAAATTAAATGAAAAAAACACAATGACAAGTTTTTTACAAATCAAAAAATATTCCACTTATTTGTCTAATCATTTCATTTACATAATACTTTGAAATAATTATTTATAGAATATGTGTAGTACATATATATTCTCAATTTACTACAAATATTGATAATGCCATTAAATAGGGCACAAAAAAATTTAGAAAAATGCTTATCAATTATCTCTTTTGATTTGATTTTTTTGTATTCAAATAATTAAAGTGGATTTAGGTGAACGTTTCTGAAACAGAAAATTAAAATAATTGTATAGAAATAAAACAAATTAAATCACAAAAAAAAAATTTAAATAAATTCGTGGATTGTCTTTTTTATATATACCTTTATATATATTTGAAAATCTTTTAAAAATTGACATTTGTTACACATTACAAAAAATAATTTTTACTAAAATTTCTTCTATAAAACATTTTGTTGTATAAAAAATGTATATTTTAATACTAAGATATCATTATTACTTCAGTAATAGTAGGTGTATTAGGGTGTCCTGATATTAAAAAAAAAAACATTGTTCATAAAAAAATTGCTAATCTCTTTTGAACATTTTGTAACAAAATGTTGAATTATAATTGAAATTCATGTGTTAACATCTGTAGAAAGTGTAGTAGGATTTTAAAACCAAAAATATTCATGTGAAATTTAACCGAGTTTATATCACTGATGCACAAAATAGTACGATTGTGTTGATGGCTAATCACGTATTCTCTTTTTCTCTTATCGTCAGTCATTTATGATGATGATCTCTCAGTTATGCTCTAACACACGATTTAGTTCGGTTCAATACTGATTTATATGAAAGACATTAATCGGTTATACTCTCTCTCTCTCTCTTGGTTTCTTTTTCTTTTTTTAAATAAATGTTTAATTGATGTCACTTTAAGGTTGATTTTCACTACCAATTTGGAATTTCAAAATATTTAAAATTTAAATTTTACTTTTTTTCAAATTATATTTAAAATTTGTTATAGTTTTTTTTTTATTTTTTACGTATTTTTCCCCCTCAGGACACCTTTATGTACGAACTTTTAATAAAAAACTTATAAGTACACAGTTTCTCTTAACCTTAAATTATTTCTCTCCTCTCTCTCTCCCTCCATCTCGGTTATCATTTGGCTTTGCCATTAGCTTGCTGCTGACCTTCACCAGCAACCATTGATGTCAGCTCCTCACCCGTTTCATTGAGATCGCTGGCATTACGGCGTTTACCAAACCGTTCACCATCTTCGATTGTTTCCGGCATTGGCTTATTCAGAGTTTCGGGAAGCATTAACGATAATAGGCCACCTAAAAAGGCCAAAGCCCCACAAATTATCAATGGCAATGGTCGCCAAATTTGACCCAATAAATTTAAATAGGGCGCCAAAATGCCACCTATACGAGCCACCATAGAAGCGGCGCCCAAACCCACATTTCTCACCACTGTAGGGAATTGTTCGGCTGAGAAAATATAAATCGTGCCATACGACGAGGTAATGGCCAATTTACCAATCATGGCAAATAGAATGATGAGCCAATTTAAATTAGCCGGAACAATGATGGTCAGCAGCAAGGCAACACCGGCCACCAACATACAGCCACACAAAATTGTACGGCGACCCCAGCGATTCAGGGTGAACAGCAGTAGCAAATAGGCGGGAATTTCTACAGCACCCGAAATCATGAAATTCAGCAGGACATTACCACCCAAATTGTTGGTGTTCCACGACAAGCCATAGTAGACACCACTGTTGACAAACCAATCAAAGAAAATGATGAGGGTCTTACGTCTCAAATTCGGGTAACGTAGCAGATCAAAGACACTGGCCGCTGCTGCCTTGTCATTTTTATTGGCCTCGGCGTCATTTTTCTTTTCCGCAGATTCATCAATGAGATTCTCATAGACCTCTTGGGGTATGGTGACATTATTGACCTTGGCTGCCTTTTCAATTACCACAATGGCTTCATCTTTGCGGCCCTTGGACAAAAGCCATCTGGCCGATTCGGGTATGATCCAGTGATAGCACATGAATAGTAAACCCGGTAGGGTCAGGGCAATTTGCAACCATCTCCAGTCTCTAATGAAGTAGGCAAATCCAGCTGTGAGCATAAAACCGACCGAGAAGAACATTTGGCAGGCCACACCGGCAAACAGACGATACGATGAACCGACCATTTCCATGGCAATGACATAGGCCACCAAGAACACACCCGAAGTGGTGGCGCCCACAATCATACGCGATATGGTATAGGTAAAGTACTCCGGAGCCACGCCGGCCAAAACGCCAAACACCACTTGAATCACCAACGAGGCAAAGAAAATCGGTTTGCGTCCATATTTATCGGAGAGTTGGCCAAAAATAATACTACCCAGCAGGACACCAACCATGAACAAGGAATCGCTGGTGGCACTCAGCAGCTGGCGGCTACACACCATATTCCATTCGGTCACCGCACTGCTCTTATACACACTCTGGTCATAGACGAAATGTTCACAGGACTTTGTCTCATTGCCGGACGGTACTGCCAAACTGCTGCCATTCAAATAATCCTCATTATAGTCCACATCGTAGTATTCACAAACCTGATAGGTATCAGTGATTGTGTCATATGGATAGGCCAGATTCCATAGGGTTTTATTGAAATTTTCAAAACGTGTTTGATTTTCGCCGGCATTTTCAAATGGCAGTACACAGCGGAATTCGGGACGGGCCAAAAGGAAAACTCCGGCCAGCTTGTGAAAGGCGCACGATATGGCGGGTAAACACAAAAGGAAATAAATTTGCTTCTGATAACGGCCAAAATCACCCAGATATTTTATGACATCATCGTAACCCATGGTGATACTGATGACGAGGACGACGTTTACGTCCCTTTAGTGGCTGCCTGTCTTGTCTAACTGAGCGGGGTGGTTGTGTGTGTAATGAAATTAGAAAATTAATTATTCTCAACAAAAAATATCCAACTTCATAGAGTTCAGTTTTTTTCTTGTTCGCGGAATTTAATTATGAAGCTGTTAACCCCGGCAGCTGTTGGTTTCTTCTCCTTCTTGTTCGGCTTCTTAACCGGTTAGAAAATCCAATTGTTGAATGTTTGTTGTTCGATTCGAAAGCAATAAATAAAAAAAAACTTGTTGCCAGCAAACTCTTGAAGGCTTCCCCAACAACTAAACGACAACGACACAAACTCGACTAAAGGAAAAACTCATGCGCAGATTTTCATTTCCATGAGTTCGCTTCTGTTTGAGTTTTCCCTCCCAACACAACAACAAAAGACCAACCGGTTGTGTGATTTCTGAGATTCCTTGTTTGTTTGGTTTTGTTCTCCTCCCTCCAAGCTACACTGGTCTGCAATGAAATAAAAAAATATTTATATTTAGTAATTGTTTATAAATATTAGGTTAGGTTATATTAAACAATTCCGATATTTGTAAACAAACTGTGTGGTTATGATTGCAACTTGAAGATTGTGAATAAATGCTGATTACACTGTGCAACAAATTTAATGTTTTATAATTATCGGGAGATTCCAAAAATTGTGATAGAGGGACTAAAAATAGAACACACGTGTATCGGCATTTTGAAAGTTTACTTCTGGAGGTAACCAAAGTAAGGGGGACAATAAAACCCATTTTCTACACATATTTTAAAATTTTTTTTTTAAGTTCTACATAAAGCTTGGATTTTTAATAAATACTTTTAAAAGAACCGTAGGTGACGTAGGGGAATATAATAAATTGGGATGACATTCAAATTGTACTAGGAGATTTTAATGCAAAAATCGGAAGGGAAATACTTTTGGCCCCAACGTCGGAAAATTCAGCTTCGATGAAAAACATCCGACAACGGCATGAGGTAGATTGACTTCGCAGCAGCAAAAAAACATGATACTTAGCACCAGATTCAAGCATCTCGATATACACAAAACTACCTGGATTTCTCTCAATCATATAACGAGCGTGATGTGTGAATGACTGAAGCCAATGGTCAATGAAATTATTGGACCATACCAATGCGGCTTCAGACCTGACAAATCCACTATTGACCAGATTTTCACTCTTCGCCTGGAAAAAACCCACGAAAAACACATCGACACATTCCACCTATTCGTCGACTATAAAGATGCATTCGACAGCCCTATCCGTTCAGAGGTATATAAAGCCATGTCTGCGTTTGGCATTCCTGCAAAATTAATACGGCTATGCAGGATAATTTTAACTGGCACATGGTCAGCAGTTAAAGTCGGAAAGGACCTCTCGGAGCCCATTAATACCGAACGAGGATTCAGAAAAGGTGACAGTTTGTCGTGTGACCTTCTTAACACCCTGCTGGAAAGGTCATATGAGACGCACAGGAGAACAGAAATTGCACTCTGTACACCAAACAACACATGTTACTCGCCTACGCCGATGACATCGATATAATGGGTCGAACATTGCGAGCGGTAACAGCCACCTTTGAACGAATTGAGAAGGAGTCTGCAAACGGAAAGAAGACCAAGCTGATTGTATCAACGCGCAAGACGTCCTGTAGACTCTGACCAACTGTAGAGGTAGTTAAAGATGTTATATACCTTGGTACAGCCATAAACAAAACGATTGATATCAGTTTTGAGATTCGGAGAAGGATTGTGATGGCCAACAGATGCTACTATGGTCTAAGTAAGCAGTTTAGAAACAAGGCCACCTACAATTGACAATTGTATAAAGGGGGAAATACATAAGAGTACTTCAGGATTGGCATGTTAAGTTGACTTCTTTTATTGTAAAAGAATTAAGGTGAACGGCGTCCAAATTCAAATTTGACTCTGATATTCCTTTATAAGTTGGCGTTTCATACAAATCCAACTTGAAATGCCAGGCCTGAATCCATGTATGTGTTTCCCCCTTTATCAATTGAAAAGTTATTTCTTTAATGACCTGGCGCCCAACGTCTGAAGATGTTATAATCCATTGTAAAATATATTTTTTTAAAATTGGCGCCCAACATTTTTTGCACTTTTTTTCCAAACAACCTGCAATAATTTCTACTCTACCAGTTTTTTGTACAACCTTCGGTAGATGACTTTGAATGCCAAGGGCCCGAATAATAGAAAAGAAAAAAATTAGAAAAGATGTAGAGTAATCGACAATATTTTCCTTTTTGTTGTATATGTTGTATTTCATTTAAATAAAACATTGGTAAAACATTAGTAGACCAGTTTCTACAAGGCGTTTTTCTCACGTTAAACTAAATAAATAAAAGATTTCATTTAAATATAAACAAAAACAGTTAGAAGATAAGCTTCTTTTGTTTCTCATTCAATTAATTTTTATCTTTAAAGTAATAAAAATTATAACTTTATATTCTGTTGACATTTCTAAAAGAACAAAGACAATTTTTAACAACTTTCTTTCAAGCGTTAATAAGCTCGTTCTCTACGTTCTCTTCTTTTTAAGTCATTTCATATTGCGGTTTCTCATTTACTCTCCGGCGCCTGTATTTTTTGAGGACCTCTATTTCAAGACCAAATATCATTACTTAGTCACTATGTTTTGTATTTAATTTAGTGCTCATAAACATTAAAATATTTGCGGTTTTAACAACCTCAGGGATTTTGCGAACATTGCATTTGCGGGGTTTTTTACTGTTAGAGTTAAAAATAATATGCACACTGCACATTAAAATTACTTTGTATCGAACACCAAACAAAATTTATAGTTAATGTTTTTTTCTATTACAGAAAACTAATATTCATAGCACTGTCCGAAATGTATGTTTCTCAGGGTATAATTACTCAAACAATATCACATAAAAACTGATTTTTACATCAAACAATACCACATCGAAAAAACTAAATTTGAATATCATATGCTAAGTGGGTAAACGAGAAAAAAAAAATAAATGTTTGAATTCACCGAATTATCATCGCTACTTACTATATATACTCCGGAACACATTAAAAGCATTTCTTGAACCATTCCAATCGCTCGCTATCATACTTTATGGTATATTCTCAAACTAAAAACAAAAACTCAATATCGAGTGCTGGATTTGTATTTAAGATATTTTAATCCTGCTTTTTGGACTTTTTTTCTTCAACATTTATGATAATATCAATATTGTTTATTTATGAATTTATTCGATATTTGTTTTGAAGTGATTGTTCACATATCAGTGACATAAAATGGGAAGGAATTAAATATATTCATTTTTTCATTTTAAGTCTACTTTCATTCCTTTTATCTTTAGTGACGTAATTTTTGACAGTTAATATCTATTTTAAGGCCATGCAAATTCAGTTTTTAATAAGACTAGTTCCCGTTAATTGTGTGTCATTGGCATGACTAATATCCATTATGATTTGAAATCAGTTTTGTTTAATAATGAATTCCTTTTCAGAATAATTCTTGAACATAACTAAAATTGTTCGGCAATTTTAAATATGCGAAGATTTTCAAATAATTTTTTCTTTCCAAATTTGGGGGAATATAAAATAAGTTCTCTAATAATTTCATTATAGATCATATTAAATTATTTATGGGTGCTATTGAGCCCATTGAAAATATTGAAAATTTAAAGTCGTGAATGGGGTGGGGTTCCCTTAACAGTCCATGCCGGAATCCATTTATGTGTTCCCCCCATTAACATCTAAGAAAATACCAATTCCAACCATCGAATTTACATTATACAGTATCTGAAATTGTTTTGTGTTTGGTTCATCTCACATTGGCTGAGTGGATTAACGCCACCCAGAGAACCAAAACGCTTAGTGGAAGCGAAACCACAACCTACGCGAAGCTCTCCTACTGCTGGGCAAGATCCACAGATCTAGGGGCACTTAGCACACACAGTACGGAAAAGCACCGGACAGGCTCGAGACCGAAGCCTCTACCAGCTTAACAAATGAAAAACACACAAAGCACAACACGCCGTCCTTACGGACTGTCTGCACGACATCCACAGAGGAACCCCAGCGGTGCCAAAACCTACGATGTCTGGTATTCCCACATCCGTTGCACAACCCACCACCACCCGGTGCAACCAGTCAATGCCTTCCTGCTAGGAAAATATGCTTGCTTCTGGAGCAAAACTTTTAGAACAACTTAAGATCCGATCGTCTTCATGTACCCTACTAAAATTCCGCTTATGCAATTTTAGTATCAGCATTCCGTCAGTATATGCTACCAGCCTTCTGTCATCCCACACACATAAATCAGTATGAGATAGTAAAATGCATTTAGATAACGATGCTCCCTCTGTAAAAACCCAGTATTTAGGCCAGGATATAATTTATAACGACCTACTGGCACTTGAATATACAACCACTGACGGATGTCTGCACGACAACCACAGAGGAACCTCAGCGGTTCCTCTTTCGATGCAACCATCGAAAGCCATCCTACAAGAGGATTAGGACCGAAGACCAACTTCACTAAGTGCCGTCCTTTTTCTTCTGGAGCAAAACTATTACAACAACTAAGGATCCAATCGTCTTCAAGTACCCTACTTACAATTCCATCCCGTCCCACCACTCGTTATACCCATAATTGCCAAATCTCTAATGCCATTAGAGTAACAGCATTCAATCAGTATATGCTTCCAGGTTTCCGACATTCCACATGCATAAATCAGCCTGAGATTGTGATCTTTTATACGAAAATGCATTTAGAGAACCATGCTCCCTCTGTAGAAAACCAGTATTTTAGCCAGGATATAATTTATAACGACATAAAGACAGTATCCCAATGTCCCGAAAAATGTTTGGCCATTTATTTAATTTCGCTTGTGAGGACTATCGCTTATAGCGACCCATTTCGCCAGTCTCTTGACCATTATCGATTTTTGGCTATAATTTTTGAATTTAATAAAATAAAGTGGCATTCCTATATTAATTTACAGCTTTACAAGAGAGTGTAAGCTGCAAGGTGTACTCTGCATTAATTTTTTTAAACAAAAAATTTTTTTTTTAAACAAAATCATTTTTAATTTCCATCAGCAAGCCGGTATTCATTCAACAAACACACCTTTATGCGAAAAAAAAACCTTCGCATTTTCACAAAACACATTCAGCGAAAATGTCATGGTCCGATGAAAACATTAAATTTGAATGAAATTAGCATTAAGGGGAACTAAACAACTAAAATTTAAATTACACTTCGTACAAAATTTTGCCATGTCATTTTTCATAGCCATGATCACAAGATCTAAATCTTTAACATGTTTTCCAAAAAAGGAACATCTTCCAATTCCATAAAAAAAAATCCAGTTAATTCTTGTTTTGTTGTAATTTTTGTCTGATTTCAATTTCCCCTCGGCAACAATGTTTTGCCAAAATCGCTTGCTAATTCATCAAAAAAAACCGCAATCATGACGTTAATGAAAAGACTTTTTTTTGGTAGAACCACTCATTTTAGATTTTTTCGGTGGATACTTATGACGTGGTACAACACACATTTCTTACGAATTCGTCGGCAGCAACAAATTGAAGGTAACACACAATGTTTGTTGGCGAGGGGAGGCAGGCGTTTTTTAGCCTTGATTCAAACGACCGTGAATCTTGAGGAGAAAATTCATACGTAACAATGTCTGAAGATTATTTTTGCTTGTTTGCCCCCACGTTTTACTTTTTTGTTTTATCGGCCAAATGCATAGGTGAATGACCAATGAGATAGTATACCGGGTATGATATTTTTGCAAAAAAAAAAAACAAAGTTGCAATGTTACTAAACTATACCACACAGCGTCGTACTATATCAGTGTACTTGTTATCAGTTTTGACTATGTTTTTTTCTTTTTGTTGTTGTTGCAATTACTTTTTGTTTGGGCCAGGCGAAGCAACGAACATCGACCACCGCACCGGGAAAACTAGCTACCGAATGTATAAAGAGTTTACGATCAACTGATTTCGTGTGGCTGATATTCGGCCCATTGAAGCTACCAATGCGAGTTCACTCTCTTTAACGCACGTTCTCTCTCTCCACAATCTTTATTGCAGGAAATAATTCCTTGGTACTCTGTTGTTAATATAACAGTTGGGAGGAAGAACAAGAGAGAGAGAGAGTACCCCAAACAGAGCACAACGAAAAATCATGCGACCATGTTTCCCATACACAAGTATGTATTTATGTTTATTTCATGCAAAAACCCCCCAAAACAACAACACAACCCGGCATACATGTACATATGTATATATTAGAATGTATGTATATATAAAACACGCATGATTACATACAAATATACAACACGTGTGGTGGACTGGTGCGTTGAAAAACAACCACTTTTTAAAGGGAGATATTTTCTTTTATCTGAACATAAATTTGTATCTTTTTTTGTGTGGAAAATCGTTTTGTAGTCACCTTTTGTTCTGCCGTTGGTTGTTGTTGAGATCGAAGTACTATCTTATCTTTTTTCACTATTCATAACCCAGAGATAATGTTGACATGATTGCTAAATGCGGTTTATCTTGTAGTGTGGGATTCTATTAGCGATTATTTATTTACATTCAATTTACCTACAATATCAAGTGTACAGATCGATATTGTGTAATAGGGTAGAACGATGAAGGGTAGTAAATTCTCAATAATACATTCGGTTTTGTTGAAGGGTGACGGGGGGATGATATATACCAAGCAACGGCCCTGATTGGCTTTAACGTAGCAAAACCCAGGCTTATCTTGGTACCTCTGTCATCTCAATTTTGGACATCACCCATTGAAATAGTGATCTGATATGTGCCGCGAGTTCAAACATAAGAACTATAAAAATTGGGTTGAAGCGTCGGATAAGTTGCCCACACTCGGAAAACCCCTCCTATGCACTGTATTATAGCTGACATGAAACGAGACATAAATTTGGCTGCGAATTTATGATTACCTCATCTCCAGATTGAGTCCAGTAGAAGCGAAGTTCTTCTACATCATTCTTATTTGCGCCCGACCGAATATCGATTCGGCGCGATCTAATACAACACGGAAACTCGACGTCGAAAAGCTATAAACACAACAAATAACAGAAGCCTACTCCGCTCAACTTATCCACCTGTTTCTGCTACCCGCTGTCGAGGTGCTTGAATCAGGTGCTGCTAACTACCATGTTTTTTTCTGCCGCGAAGTCAATCAACCTTTTCCGACGGTGGAGCAAAAAATATTTTCCCTTCCGATTTTTGCATAAAAATTTCTTAGCAAAATTTAAATGTCATGGTCAGGGCAGCCGTAATATCTACTGGAATGAATCTAAATTCTCCTGTTAACCAAAAATCATGTATCCTTTCATGACAACTGTAATACAGTGCGTAATCATTTGATTTAATGACAAAGCTAAAACTGCGACTTCTCTGTTCCACTTGCGCACATTCCAAGTGCAGATTTGCATATCGTGGCCCTTTATTTAAACATTTCATCCCGAATCATATCAGGCATCTGATTATCTAAGTATTTTTCTAGTTCATTGATTACAAATTTATAAAAGGAATGGAATATGATAACATTTAAAAGTTTCATCCCGCATCATATCAGGCATCTGATTATCTAATTTTTTTCTAGTTCATTGATTACAAATTTATAATGGGTTTTATTGGCGCCCAATGTGGGGAAGTGGGATATGATAAAAAAATTTACATCCAGAATCGTTCATCGATTACAAATTTATAAAGGGTATATTTGGCGCTAAATTGGGGAAATGGGACACGATAAAAATTAGGAATTGCATCCATCATCGATTACAAATTTATAAGGAATTTTTTGGCGCCCAACGTGGGGAAATGGAACACAATAACAATTACAAATTTCTTTGAGAATCGCATCAGGCATTTGATTGTGTACTTTTTTCCTAGTTCATTGATTACAAATTTGTTCCCAACGTGGGACACGACACAATTCAGAATTTCATCCATCGTTTCGATTACAAATTTGTAAAAGGTTGAATCCAGAATCATATCAGACGACGTTTTTTTCTAGTTCATCCTTTTATTCGTAATATCATTCAATACCTTAAGGCATCCCGTCTCATTGAATATTGATTTTTTAGAATAGCATTTTGAATTCACGTAGAATGTTGCACTGTTGTAATCTATAGGTAATTTGTCAGTGATGCATATAAATGCATTTTTTGCATTTTAAAACCCCGTCATTTCTTTTCGTGCCTTGAATACTCAAACATTTTGTTAGTACTTTTTAACTTCACATTTAATGAAAATATAAATTGGAATCAATTCTTCAATATACCTTGTCTTCACATCCGGAATTTTTCCCAATTCGGGGTTTTAAAAATCAATTCTGAGAAATACATTGTATTAATTGCAGAATGTAAACAAGAAGAACACTGATAAGATTCACTTCCATTATTTTCATGTCATTGCATGGTGTTCACATACAAATAGTAGTTAAATAGAAAGAAAGCAAAAACAACAACAATAAAATAATAAATTTACAATCAGACAATTGGTTTTTTTCCTTTCTTTGTACCCTTCACCACTATATCGAAAATGTATCATTGTCAGTTTTTTTGTAGTTTTTATTGGTTTATTATTAGGTGTGTTCGTTCACCATTGCTATTGAAAAATTACTCAGTAATTATTGCTATGAGATATTTATTTCAATAAAAATGAGCAGTAACTTCTGTCGGGAGATAAAGAGAGAGGGATTACTCTCACAGATGTAAATTATTACTCTCTCAGATGTTAATATTTCACCCAACAGGCGAAAGTCAGCTGATTTTTCTCAAGTCTAATGTCAAAAAAATTGGATTCTGTTTACGTTTTTATAATGGACGCCAATTTACAATAAAAGATTTTGACACAATATGGGTTTTGACAGCAAACTTGAGAAGCAGCTGATATCCAGCTGGTCCCTGTCTCGCCAGTTAAGTTCGTCCAATGCAAATCTGGGCCGAATATTTATTAAAACATCTCCCTCGACCATACTTTACCTCATGAAAAATTAAAAACAAAAACCCTTTTTTTAAATACAAAATTAATAAAATATTTGGTTTATTGCTTAAATATATTTTTGTAGATATTGAAAGCACATATTTATTAAATGCAATTATTTTAAACATAATATTGAAATACTATTTTTTCGAACTAATTTACAGCGTCAACTGTGTAATTCGAATATTTGAATTCACTAAAAAATAGATATCAATAAAAAATTATTATTTATTTTAAAAACAAAGCTCAGCTACATTAAGTACTACATAACTAAATGGGGATTTTTTCATTAATTTAAAATATTTCTATTCCCGTTCTCTCCCTTCCCTAATATTTATTTTGATCCGCCTTGGCCGCCTCCGCCTCTTTGGCAATGGAGGCAACCGTGGTGAGCGGCAATGTTTCGGCCTTTTCGAAATTTTTCATTTCCTTACCCTCCTCCAGCATATACTGCTGAGCTTTTGACGCCTTGCCAAATTCTTCGCCATCGGCTATTGTCTCCAGCGTTGGTTTGTTGTGGGTTTCCGGCAGCAGCAGGGAGAGTAGACCACCAATAAAGGCCATTGCCCCAAATATTAGAAGAGGTAAAGGTTTCCAAATCTCCCCCAACATATTAAAGAATGGCGCCAAAATACCACCAATACGCGCAACCATAGAGGCAGCTCCTAAGCCCACATTTCTCACCACGGTGGGGAATTGTTCGGCGGAGAAAATGTATATGGTGCCATAGGAAGCTGTTATGGCCAATTTACCTATCATGGCACAGGTGATTAACATCCAATTCATGTTGGAGGGTATGGCAATGGTCGCCAGAAGACCTATACCGGCCACCAACATACAACCACAAAGAATTGTGCGACGACCCCATCTGTTGAGGGTGAAAAGTAGGAAAGTATAGGCGGGAATTTCCACAGCTCCAGAGATGACAAAATTCAACAGGGCATTTGAACCCAAATCATTGGTGTTCCAAGAGAGCCCATAATAGGTGCCGCTGTTAACAAACCAATCGAAAAATATCAGCAATGTCTTTCGGCGTAAATTCGGATAACGAAGTAGATCCCAAACACTTGGTTGGGGTGGAACGTCTGCATCATCTGCCTTGGTTGGTGGTTCAGGTTTCTTTTCTTCGCTGGTGTTATCATCCAACAATTGATTGATCAAATCCACCGACATGTCCACCTTATTGAAACGGGCTGCCTTTTGGATGTTGGCAATGGCGGCTTCTTTGCGATTTTTTGACAACAGCCATCTGGCCGATTCGGGTATAATCCAATAGTAACACATAAAGAGCAATCCGGGTAGGGTGAGGGCAATTTGTAGCCAACGCCAATCATGGACGAAATAGACAAATGCCGCTGTCAACATAAAACCGAACGAGAAGAACATCATAATGAAGATGCCGGCAAAGAGACGCATACTGGGACCCACCATTTCCATGCCAATGACATAGGCCACCAGGAACACACCCGAGGTGGTGGCACCTATTATAAAACGTGATGTGGTGTATGTTAGATATTCCGGTGCCACACCAGCCAAGACACCAAACACCACCTGTATGACAAGGGAGGCGAAAAATATTGGCTTGCGTCCATATTTATCGGACAGCTGGCCAAAGACGATACTGCCCACCAAAACACCCAACATGAACAGAGCATCACTAGTTGCACGCAGAAAATTACGAGTACACACCATGTCCCATTCGGTAACAGCACTGTTCAGATATTTCGTCTTGTCGTATACATAATGTGAGCAGGTTGTGGTGCCATTAGCAGCATAGGGTTGACTGCCATTGAGATATTCCGGGGTGTAGTTGATGTCGTAGTACGAACATGTTTCATATTTCACACCCAGTAAATCTTTGGGATACACCAATGGCCATAATTCCTCTGGTAAATCATTGTATTCGACATGTGAGCTATTCTCGAATGGGAGCACACAACGGAAATCCGGTTTTGCTAATAGGAAAACACCGGCTAATTTGTGGAAGGCACACGTTATCGATGTTAGGCAAAGTAGGAAATAGATGATTTTTTGATATCTGCCAAAATCGCCTTGATGTGTAATTACCTCATCGTAACCCATGATGATGATTTTTATTTTAATTTTTCTTTTCTTCTAAAACGTTGTTAACAGCAGCTGATGGCGAAGACGAAGCTGCTGGAACGAACAAACGAATGAATTGAAACCTTTGGCAGTTAAACAACTACTGTTTACAATTTCGGGGTGTCTGTGGCCTGTCTTGCCTCTCTTCTTCTGACTCCCCAGTTTCTGTTAAATTTTGCTGAGCTCTGCTCTTCTCGTTAACAGCGAAAATATGACAGCATCAGGCAAACCACAGCACGCCTCCTCTCTTTGAGAGTTATGATGTGTGTGGAAACACTGAAAAGAGCAGCTCTCAGCTTGACGCTGCAATATGGTGGTGTTTTTTGTTGGTTTGTGTTTTCTCTGCTCTCTTCCCAAAACTCAACACCCTCCTCCTGCTCGGCATGGGGTGTAAGTAATCGTTGTATGTGTGGTGTTTACAAATTAACAGTTGTTGTTGGTTTTGTTGTTATTGTTTTTTGGTTTAAGTCTGTTTTACTAGTAACTTGACAATTTTGCACAATGCCCGCTACGCTCCTCCGAGTTATCTGTGGTCTAAAATAATGTCTCCCTTGTATTAAGTAGGCTATGTGACGTTGTAGCGGTGTGTGTGTGAGTGCGTTTGTACGTGTTTTTTTATTTTCATTCACTATATAGAAGCCAATATCAGCATTTTGTTAGACCTTTTGGCTTGGCGATAACTTATGATGTTCAGAGTTCATTCCATCATTCCGATTTGTGTTTGTTTGTATTTTTTTTTAATGATTTGATGATTTAAATTTAAAAAATGGTCATTGTCGTTATTATTGTTGTTGTTATTTTTTTCATTCACATTCACGTGCTTTATCAATGGTTAGCTAGATTTAGCTAAACACCAAAATTTTGCCATTTCTTTGTTTATTGTTTTCTTGCGTTTGGAATTTTTTTTTAACAAAGCTAAAAATATTTTATTTATTTATTGTTTTTTTTAATATCAAACGACCCGGATCACTTGCTACCAGAAATTATTTCTTTCTACTCTCCCAATTTTGCTCTCGCTTTGGCTGACGTATCGTAGGCAACTGAATTCTGTGTTCATATTTTAAGAATTTTTTAAAATTGTTTTGTAAATATCAAATGTATCAGCCGTCGTCGTTGTCGCTCAGTCAGTTAGTCGTCGTATTTATCGTCTGTATTGCACGTACTGCTGCTACGTATCTTGCCAGAGTTTGTTCTGCTTGGTTCTTATATTGGAACAAGAACAAACGGCACAATGTTTGCTGCTATCAGCTGCTATGGGAGCCATTTCTTTGGCATGTTTTTTTTATTGTTGTTGTTTTTCGTTTTATGGGTTGTTCACAATGAATGAGATAATGTTTAGCTTAGCTTTTTTATTTGTGGTAATAATTTAATTAACAATAATGTGGTAAAAAAGAAGAAAATATATCAGCTATAATACTTTCATCCACGATGACAATTGAAACAATTGCCGGCTTATTTCTGTTTAGAGACGAACACGCACCGAGTGAGGAAGAGACAGTAATTTTGCAGTAAATGAAAACCATTATTCCCTACAGAGAAAGTGGGGGGACATAACATTATGAGAGAGAGTAAACAAATAAAACCGTTTGATTAAAATACCACCCACTCTCTCTGCTCTGTGTTACTCTCTCACTCATTCTCCCTTTCACTGTTAGACAACTTACACATTGGACAAGCAGCTGTTTACAGAACCGAAAAAAGGAAGTCGTCATCTAACATAACGGATATGTTTTTGTTGGAATAGAAAAAGGAAACATACGCACACACACATTCATGCATGCATACATGCACTCTCATTCATGCACAGTAAACAGCATAAATACGGTTGTATGACTTACAGTGTATGTAAATTAGTCCTGTTCACATGTGATGCTACTGGAATGGAGAAAATAAAAGAAGAAAACAATGAGTCATAAATTGAGGTGGATGAACCATGACTCAATTTTGTTTATATAATAATTAATAAATAAAAACATGTGGAAAAACAAATAAAATATATAAACAAAATCTTATTATCTGTGTTATGACTTTAAACTTTCAAATGTAGATTTTAGGTGCAACTTAACATTTGAGGACGATTAAATTTAAAAATAAAAATTAAACAAATAAATAAAATATAAACAAAGGCATCTTATTATCTTAGCTCCCATAAAGTAGAAATTTTGCTACCTGTTAAAAATGTGACTTTAAACTTTCAAATGTAGATTTTCGGTACAACAAACTTTTTGTTTAAATTTTAAGCCTTGTTATGATTTTTTAAATACGATGTCAAATAAATCGCTTTAATCTATTATGTCTAAACGCAACGTTTGCGGGCGCCATTTTAATAAGCTGTCATGTTTACACTCAGGTCTTTTTATTCAAGTGCATTGTCATAATTTATTTGATAAATAGTGATAAACAAAAATATCTTCCTACACCCCAATTTATTTTAAATTATACGATTTTCAACTTCTTGTACTTCATTTTGGGTACAAATAAATATTTCAAATGATAAATAAATATCTAATCTTGCAAATGCCTCTGTATTAAATAAATCCAATACAACTTCATCAACTTCGAAAAGGAGAGTTAGCTGGCTTTGTGCTGCTGGAGCATCATCATAAATTCTCACAGCATGACCTAGCTAACGTAGCGTCTTGTAGGATGTGAGTTTGGTCTGACGGGAGGAGGGCTTGTTCCTAAACTGCTTACTGCCTTCTTCGAATTTCAAAACTGATGTCAGGGTATATAAAATCTTTGACTACCTCGAAGCTGTAGTTTTCAAGTTCCACAGTTGGTCCGACTACTGGACGTCTTGTGCGTTGATACCATAAGCTTGGTCTTCTCGCCATTTACTGCCAGACCCACTTTGGCAGACTCCTTTTCATTTTTTACCGCTGTTACCGCTCGCAATGTTCGATCCATTATATCGATGTCATCGGAGTAGGCGAATAACATGTGTTGTTTGGTTGCCTCTCGTATGGTATATTCCAGTAGGATGTTAAAAAGATCATACGATAAACTGTCACCTTGTATAAATCCTCGTTTGTTATTAAAGAGCTCCGATAGATCCTTTCCGACTTTAACTGCTGGCCTTATGCCAGTTAATGTTATCCTGCATAGCCGTATTAATTTTGCAGGAATACCGAACGCACACATTTCTCTTAACACCTCTGAACGAATAGGGCTCTCGAATGTGGCTTTATAGTCGACGAATATGTGGAATGTGTCGAAAAACGTCAATCTTTTTAGGATTAGCCAGGACTAAAGGCGCATCGGTATGGTCCAATAATATTATTGAGAATTAGCTTCAGTCGTTCACATAGCACGCTGGGTAGCACTTTATATGCAATGGGAAGGAGACTTATTCCTCTATAGTATCGTCTTGTATCCTTTTTTATGCACGGGACACAGAATGCTGAGGTTCCTATCATTGGTCATCAGCTGACCAGCATCTGACCATCAGTCTTGAATAGTTCAGCTGGTAACCCATCGGCACCTGCTGCTTTATTATTCTTTAAACGATTGATTGATATTCTGACCTCATCTTGGCTGGTCAGTTTTGGAGTTTTACTCCTAGGCAAAAATGCTGTTTATATCCTTTTTAAACTCTAATACTTCGTAGGAAGCCATTTATTCTTCGAGGCATCGACTTCACCAGGTTTAGACAGAGCGAAGGTTCAATTTAAGCCCACTCCTTCTTTATGACATTTATATTTTTAACTGCTCTCCCAGATGACCCTACATATGCTCGATTGGGTTCCAACCGGATGATTGTGATGGTGTTACCAACACATGGCGGCAGTTGTATATGATCCACATTTTCACTTTCAAGGCTTTGAGTATTACATCGTTGTCTTGATAAGAGAAGAAATTATCGCCAATACCCACTTTTCGACGTGAATTTCCTAAATTATTTTAAAGAATATACAAATAAATTTTTGACCCATATATACACAAAGATATCCCCAATAATACAAAGATTTCCAGGTCCATCAGCTTACATGCAAACACATACTATAATCACATGCTTAACAGTCGTCCGTAAATTATATTCTCTGAGCTCATCATTTAGTCTCCTCCATACATATGAGCGTCCATCAGATTGAAAAAGGTAAAATTTGCTTTTATCAGCAAATCAAACTGGTTTCCAAAATGGCATATCTCTACTTTGGTATTCTTCTGCAAATGCCAGTCTGTTTTTCTAGTTATTTGCACTTCAAATGTTTTTTTAACCACCCATCCATGGATGTTATTTCTTTTGAGTATGTTTCAGGATTGGCAGCTTTGGGACACTTAATTTGCTGTACATTCCATCGCTCGACCGAGTCAGAAAATATCCGCTTCTTGCCGCAATGTAGTATATTTCCAATTGAATTGGATAAATTTTAGCGTCTTCTAATATTATGAACCGTATCATTTCTTTTCACGATTTTTTAGAAAATATCTGGACCTCAGTAATGTTGGCGGGTTATTTGGGATACGATTTGTATTTTGTTTTTGCAAAATAGTCAGGCTTAATCCCAGTTTGTTGTTTTTATAAAAAACAACTATTTATTAGTGGGGAATGTATGGCATTGTCCGCCGAGGGGTAAGGCAGGGAAGACTATAGTTTCGGATCTCGCCACTGATCCTCATCAGTTCCCTTAGTTTTTTGTTGGGATATTCTCCCCAGAAGCTATTAATAGCTTCTTTACAAAAAACCTTTCAAACCCAAATGTCTCTTGTGACAATTCGAAGTTCTTACGTTACCAGCGATACGACCCCAATGAGAAGTTCGTTTCGTTGGCGCCTGACTTCGTGGTCAACAAGGCATTTACAGACAACTACAATACATTTCCCACTGCTATGTGTCGTCACTTTGTGACGAATGCACATAACGTTGTTGTTGGTATTGCTAGTTAAGGCAATAAACCAAACAGTATGACCGTGCCACGTCAACAAAAACAACAAACTGGGATTAAGCCTGACTATTTTGCAAAAACAAAATACAAATG